CGCTGAAATTATCTACACTTACGTGCGTAAAATTATGCGAAATGTTCGTATTTTTCGACCAACTGAGCCAGTCAATGTTTCGTTATCATTGACAACTGTTCTATGTGTTAATTAAACGTGTTTGTCAGGGGTGTCACGTGTTCCAGTGACGTTGGATTTAGTGGAAATACGTCGCAAAAACAACCGAAATGTCAATTACTGGAGATTTTCCGCCGATAAACACAATAATAATGACAAGTTAATAATAGACTGAGGCTTAATTTAGCACGATTTTCTTCGAGATTGCGAGTCATAATAAACATTGGCCAATTATTTCCCCATATCATCTAACTGGATTAATATCACACAATTATATTCCAGCAATTAGTAATTCTTTTATAATTTGATTTATATTTATAGAGTTTATGTAAAGTCGTTGCCGTGGCGCTGCATTACTTTTTTACGTCTTCGTTTGTCTGGATGTTTATAGAGGGGGCTAATCTGTATGTCAAATCCATATTTGTCTTTGCCAAAGAAATTCCAACAGCTGCATTGGCTGGCGTGGGATGGGGTAAGTCATTATCGGTGTAGCTATTGCGCCATCAAACATAACATTTTCTTTGCAGTAAATTAGTAACAGAGAGAAAGAAACAGCGCCTTCTAGTGTTGGACTCGATTTCCAGTCTACACAGGTACACAAAACAGCTCGCCGTCTTCCCTTCACCTGAGGCAGAGTCACAGTAGCGCAGCGGCAAAAAAAATGGAACCGAGTCTACCTAGTGTGTGTCATCGGACAATTCCGTGTAATTCCACGAAATCTCCTTGAAACTAAATACTAGTATTTCTATTATTGAATTAGTGCATTAGTGTCAGAGACAAATTCAGATGAAACGCCAATTGCCATGACATGTGACGGTGATGGTTATTATCAGTTTAAGATTCAAGTGATATTACGTCATATATTCGATCATAAATTGTTTTAACTTCAGCCAGAACATATTCAGAATCGACAAGATTATTTCTTGACATTTTTATGACAATTATTTTTGCAGGTGTTCCCTTACTCATTGTTGCAATATCGTTGGCAATACGATTTGACGGATATGGTAGTAATGGAATGTAAGTAGAGCTTATTGGTTTGTTTGTTTGTTAGATTGATTGAATTGTTAGGTGATTGATTGATTGATTGATTGATTGATTGATTGATTGATTGATTGATTGATTGATTCATCTATTATTCATTCATTCATTCATTCATTCATTCATTCATTCATTCATTCATTCTTTCATTCATTCTTTCATTCATTCATATTCTAAGAAAGTTCGAATTAAAAAATATATATATATATTGTTCTGAAATCCAGATGCTGGCTATCGTATGATAATGGTTTGATATGGGCATTTGCTGGACCAGTCATCCTTGTAATTCTCGTAAGTGTGTCCTTTGTCTTTCACACTATTAATGTTATTTGTAGGTGAATGGATTGAATACAATCGATGGGAATACAAGCGAGTCAATAAACATTGACAAGATATTCCCTCTCTCACATAATTACTCGAATTTACACTAAGGTGTGTTGACATACGTGGTCGTTATATAAGAATTAACTATGAGTTACGGAGGCAACAACTTTCATAATTTGTTGGAAGTAGATTGTTTGGCAGTAGACGTAGCAATCTTCGTTTGATGAATTAATGAAAACTCTAGAACTCAATTCTTTCAAAGTATACATATTGTCTTCTTTTAGTGGTAAAAAATATGTATATGTTTTCTATTCCGCAGATCAACGCCATTATCCTGATTCTCGTACTGCGTGTGTTTATGACTTTGAAAGCTAACGCAGACAAGACTGAAGTGGAGAAGCTCAGGTATACGAATCGATCATTCTATTTACAACACAGAAATAAAAACCTGCCCAAACCAGGCAACTATTACATGGTTATTCCGTAGCGGATCGGCACTGTGAATGGACGCGGCTAACAATTTGGGTTTCGCATACTCATGCTCATGTGCTTTCTCTATATCCTCGGGGGCGGACATCCGGGCATTTTCACCGCCTGGCAACCCGCGGCGGTGAAAACAAAGGCCCAAAACTCGCAGAAAACGGTACTTTGGGATGATTGTTGAGACTCCACTGAACAGTGTAACAAGATTAGCCCTACGTGTGAAACATATATAAATTTGGTTGTTCAGGATTACTTCAAAGTTGAGTTTGTGTTGTTTTTTTCGAATTTTCACCGGCTCGAACGGCGTTTCACATCAGCGCGCACAGAGCCCATAGAAATGCATGTACAGTGGTGCGCGTCGTAGCAACGTGGAACGTCTTGTGACGTAGCTTCGCCCCCGAGGATACGCCATTTTGACGTTACACAAGCGCTTCGAGAATATGACTTGAATTTGTTGCCAGTTCAGCGTTTTTATCTTACGAGGGATGCTCTTCTTTTCAAGATGTAATGTCAAACAAAAATAATAAAACATGCTCAAAATAGTATTCAAACTTACATACATCATATTTAAACTAGTCCAAATGTTGCCGTTTTTTCTCAATTCACATTTTCTTTTTTTGTACGCAGTGCTCAGTGAACTGTATATAATTTGTAGTTTGATATTTTTTTCACTAGAATTGGGATTCGGGCAATTGTCATGTTGCAGCCGCTTCTTGGTCTGACGTGGTTGTTTGGTGCGTTTGCCGTCAACGCCGAAACGTTGGTGTTTCAGTATCTGTTTATAATCTTTAATGCACTACAGGTACGTAAACTTGGGAAACAATGTCTTCATTTATTTATGTATGGATGGCAATATTGTTTTTCACAACGCTTTTAATATTTTCGGAAAGGCATTCAGGTCATTTGAAAAAATCGTTATCTTAATTTATACATTTATTTATTCCGAAGTGCAAACAATGATTTACCAATTATATTTTGGCGGTATTTCTTTCTCAGGTTATTATATACCTTTATCCATATGGTATTTGGTTAGTCTTAGTAAAAGTGTATAGATTTTAGGTTTGACAGAAGGCACTATTTTATTGGTTGTCAATTCCAATAAATATGACAGACATTCTCTGATTGGGTCGGAGGCCACTCATGTGTAATCTTGTAAGTCGTTGGAACTTGTGACATGCAAGTTTTGATAATAAGCTGTCAAATATAAGGTTGATTCGAATAATACAATATTTGTTTTGTTTTTATTTATTTATTTACAGGGTGTGTTTATTTTCATCCTCCACTGCGCAATGAATGAAGATGTGAGTTTTCTTGAATTACATTCGTCATCCACCGTTCTTTATTGCTATATTCTATAACGCATTTCACAGACCCATGCCTAGCTTCTGTTCTCACGTGAGCATTGGGCCTTCCTTCGTCAATCGAGTTCTGCAGGAGGCGAATTTCCTTTAAACAAATCGTATTTAATTACAATTACAAATGTCTTAATTAATTCACAGGTGAAACAGGCTTTCCTGAAGAAACGTCGCGTGAAGCATTCGCATGACAGCGCCACCATGTCTCTTTCAATGCGAGACACATCATCGACAATGGCAACGAAAAGTGGTGTGGAGAGTGTCAAATTTTAAAGAAAGAACATGGCGAACTTTGAATGACATTTGTTTGATAGCATATCCAAAGATATAATGTATATATTTGTAGAAATGTACTTTCCTGTGGGTTGTACTGTACATGTATATTCTATTCAATCTTTCAACCAAACCATTAGAGTACTATAACTGGTTGATCTTTTACGAATTGCTTTTCACATTTTGGTGTGAATCGCTTTTACCTCCACGCAGTGTGTAGCTGCGATAAACACGTGCACTATCCCGCAAGCTAATACACATATTTTTTTCCCAAGAAGCAGCTTAAATGTAACAATTTGAAATTGACAGTGTTGGATTTCTGGCATGTTTATTCACCATGACTTAGACTGTGTTGGATTTCTAGCCTGTTTATTCACTATGACTTATCACCCTCCGTCCAGGTTCATGCATCCAAAATGGTGTCATTGTTATATACATATTCCTTGAAATACTAGAAAATACAAAAAAAATCAAATTATGAGAGAAACAGTTATTAAAAGAGGGATTTGTAAAAAATATGTTTTTTATTGCGTTTTGGTTCAGTTTAAATCGCGAGACCAGGAAATGTATCCAACGATTTGTAAATATGTATTTAGAATTAATCTAGAGCTTTCCCGTTTGATACGCATCCCAGATACTAGTAAGTCTTCATGCATCTTTTCTTTAAACAGTTTTCCCAGTGTTGACAGTTAATATATAACCCGTTCTCTATTCAAATTACCAGGCACAATTCTCTACACTCGCTCCAAACATAATCTTCCTTGCACTTGCACATTAAAACAACAAACATACAACACTTATCCGTTCCCGATCTCTATCCTCGGGGGCGGAGCTACGTCACAGACGTTCTACGTTGCTAAGACGCGCATCACTGTACCACGTATTTCTATGGGCTTTGCGCGCGCTGCTGTGGAACGCCGGTGGAGCCGGTGAAAATTCGAGAAAACAACACAAACTCAACTTTGAAGTAATCCTGAACAACCAAATTCATATATGTTACACACGTAGGGCTAATCTTGTTACAGTGTTCAGGGGACTCTCAACAACCATTGCAAAGTACTGTTTTCTGCGAGTTTTTGTTCTTTGTTTTCACCGCGAGGGTTGCCAGGCGGTAGAAAATGCCCGGATGTCCGCCCCCGAGGATTCGTCAAACTAAACTATCACTATATAGCTCTCTTCTTTGTCTAGCCGTAGAACATTCCATTTTAGAGCAAAAAACTACTGCATTATAGGAACAATGCATCGCCTGTTCCGTTCCTCGTATCTCAGACATAATAACGGTGTCAGCTTTTTTATGTGCAAATATAGGCTTCCTCCTGAATCAACCATCCACCATATGTATATAGGAAGTTGTGTATATTTTGGCCTCTCTCTTTCTCTCTTTCTTTATTTTCCTCTCCATTCATCCAGTTCTGGTTCATTTATTATATGCAATTAGCCTGTTACCTGGGAAACGCGTATTTTTTTCTAATTTTTATACTACGTAAATTTCATGCATTATATGTTATATTATATTCAATTATTTACTCTTATGCGGTGAACTATTTTACTGTAAATAAATATACTGTAATGATTTACGTTAACACGTTCTTAAATCCGCCATTACTATTATTCCGACTTTATATTATTAATTTTGTATTGTTTATAGTAACAATGTATACACTAAAACAAGAGGGAAGTCTGTAATGTCATTGTTTTAGTTTGTCTGTCCATGGAACTATAAACCATAGTTCCATGGTCTGTCGGAGTAATTGACCTCAAAGTTGCCACTATTTCTGTAATGAATCCATGTATGCATGGAGGGTTGTCTTGACTTAGTCCCGCACAATGGAGGAATTGATAATACAAAATAATGTATTATATATTTTCATGAAATAGAAACGCAATTTTCAAACGTCATAGCCGCATATTGAGTATTTTAACAAAGGTCAATTTAATCGAGATCTCACTAAGAGCGATAGAGCCACGAGATTTATTTTGCACATCTAATAGTGTTTCATCCAGTTCCCTTCCGACGTGGCGTCCAATGTTCCAAATACGAACAGTGCACGTACGTAAAAGTATCGTAGCTCTCTCGCTCTTAGCAATATCTCGGCGTTCAAAGGCGTCAAATGTCTACTAGTATCACAGAACTGTTAAAGCGGGGGGTCGTCACTTGCGCATGCGTCAGATGGCCATAGCGTGTCATTGTTTACAAGCAAGCATCTACCCATGAGCCTTTGCGTTTTTGGCGAGCGTTGTTATCGTCGCCTGGGACTCAATTCCCGCGCGTGCGCAGGTGACGACAACTCCGCTTTAGTTGTGATTTCCCTGGTCGACAATCTGAGAACAAGTTTATGATTTTCAATGTCTATCCAATTATTGAATCCGGAGTACAACCACTTTCTGTACAAACTAAAACAATAACAGTCTGACAGATCTCTTGAAACTAAAACAGGCTACAGTTGTATGTAACATAATCTGAGCGGTATTTATTTTGTTATTTACTCTAGGGTTTTTTGTTGAGGGTGTGGCAGCTACTGTTCTTGTATTATTTAAATATTGCGGCTTATTGGTTAAAGAGCGGTGGTCGTCGCGCCGCGCATATGCGACATTTTTGTTAATAAACATTATTTTCCCCCACAATCTAACTCGCTCTTCTGACTAATTCATAGTACGAGTTTCGACCTGGACTTGCACTAATTACCGCCGGTGATTAATTTGATACTTTCTAATCACCAAAGAAATTATTTAATTAAAGCTTGGTAATGTCTCAGTTTACACTCGTTGGTCTTCACAACAGTCAAAGTCGCCATCTTTGTTTATATGAGACCCATATCTCGCGCATGCGTGGCGCGATGACCACCGCCCTTCAACCTATAGACCCTATAACGCAAGTGACTGCAAAGATCTCGTTGAATGCGAGAGAGCCACGGGACTTGTTTTGCTCCTCATTATCTCCCGTCATCGTGTCTCCTGTTCCATGGTTACGCATGCCAGGAATAGTGGTCGTGGTGACGGGAGAGAATAAAACACTATTTGAAAGGGAAAAACAAGTCTCACTCTCAACGAGATCTCGGCGACCACTTGTGTTAAGGTCGACTTACGTATTGCTCATTGTTAGTGGAAAGTGCAGTGGCAGAGCACTGTCACATGTTTGCAATATGGTTATTCTACCCGTTCGTGTTCTGCGTCATCCACCAACGTATATTAGTTTGGCGAACAGTTTTGCACGATTCTAGACTAAACACGTGATATATCCCACAATGCACTATGTAAAATCGCATGAACAGACAAAAGAAACAAATGTGTTTCTGCAGTTCAGGTTAACTAAAAGTATCTTCATGCAGTCACGTTTTGCACCGCCATATTAGATGACGTCACTTCCGTCCACTGATATAATAGTATATTGCACAGGGATACATTAAATGTATACTCGCAGTATATTCGTATTTATACACAGAAATCGGAAAACATATTCTGTGTAATATATACTATAGTGTTTATTTATATACGTAATTTAAATAAATGATGAATATCACGTGACTATGATTTCATTTTTTGTATGATTGAATTTATCATGAATCTCTTTCCCAATGATATGGTACATGAAATAGCCGAATTGCGCCCTCAATTTTACAAACTCCGCGTACAACTCACAGGTCATTCGCGTGCCCGAAAGTGTTAATCGAAATAGAAAAAAAGCACAATAACGAACTTACCGGACACGTTCTTTAGACAAACTTTGGTACATATTTACATTGACCATGAGGTCCCTTTCCTTACTGATTTGACTACTGTGTAGTGTACTCGGCAGTTGTTTTTTTGTTTTGTCAGTTGTTTGTTTTGTGTTCATGGAATTTTGTACAAAAATCAACAACGGTTAAATAGGTATATTATTTCCATTTGCAGTATATCGTAGACAGTACTTGTATACTTTGTTCTCCAGCATAAATATCTGCTTGTTCAGAAGCATAAGATTGTAATGTAAATTTCGCTCATTAATGTTGCATGATGATGGTACCTCCGGGGCCTTCAAGGTACATTTCCATGTTGACTATGTCCCGGTCTGTTTACTTACTTGTTGTCAGTGTCTGAGTGGTATATACAAAATACGACCAAGTAAACGCCACAATTGTTTAAAAAGAAAGCTAACAATCAGTTGCCCGTGTCAAGAGAGCCGCAGAAGTACAAAAATCTGTCAGCCGTCGCCGTCCACAGCAGCGATATGATTTTACACATCGAAATTGAGAATCGCAGGTGTAGACAATCTGCATAGAAATGAACACTAAATACATCTATCCCGGCCAGCAATCGAATCATCAATCTTCATGAGTGACGTAACTGGCATTTCCATCTATTTGCTTCTATTCCCACTATCCTAAAACGCTCAAGTGAATGTTGTCAAATTCGTGAGTGTGCGTATTTTCTGCTTCAAGCTATTGTAATCGGAAAAACGAGACGAAACAAAAACAGAATGATGCACAAAAAGAAAATTAACTGTAATCAGGACCCTTGTTTCGCTGATTACAGATTTCTGATTATCTGTAATTAGCGAAACGAGCCTTTTACTAATTAAAGCTAATTATTTTCGGCAAATGTTTTATGTAGTTATATACACAACTGAAAGGTGGATATACTGGTCAATTTTGTCCGACAGTTGTGAATATTGTACGTATAAGACCCTTGTTTCGCTGATTACAGATTTCTTAATATCTGTAATTAGCGAAACGAACCATTTACTGATTAAATATTGTTAAATATACGTCGATGCCAAAAACGACTGATTTTCGCCATATCTTCAATGAATTTTTGATAATATCATTAATTCAGTCCAGCGATAATAGCCAAGGGGTGAGGTACTGAATTTCAAAAACATATTTTATATATTCTAGGGTATATAACTAAGTCAATGGTTTTCACTGATAATTCCTTTGTTTTACCAACCAGTTCTTTGCTTACCATACATTTATATTATGCGGGGGATGATATATCATGTTATAGTCAGACTATTTTATTTT